TGCGCTCCCGATCGGTGCGCCCATGACTCGAATTTCTCGAACCTTCGAATGTGGTTCGACATTGTCGAGGGAGCCCCAGAAGTAAAGACCAGTAACTGGAGGCGAGCTCTCTCCTCAGGCGAGAGCAGCCCTTGATCCGAGGCTCTCGGCTTAGCATGTTCTCCTGCACGATCGGCAATGGCTTTGAGCCTCTTTGCCCATTTCTGCTTCTCGGCATTCTCCTGATCAAGAAGCGGAGTGCTGGAGCTGCTCGTGGACTTTTTCGCTGCCAAAGAAGGGCGAACTCCTGGCGCAAGGACCGGAGCCGCTGAAGCCCGGATCGCCATGTCCCGCTGGAACTCAGCAGTTGAGCGCGAGCTGCGCTGGCGCGGGATCTTTTCACACCGGGAGAACCCCAATTGGTAGCCGAGCGACTCTTCGAAGAGCGTTTCAGCGGCCCTTGCGAAGATATAGAACTGCTCGAGCATCTGAGGCCGTGACGCAAACACCTCGTGAGCTTCTGGTGCCAGCTTCGAAGTCCACTCGTACGCCTTCTGGGCGAACATGCCGGGGGTATCCACCTCCATTGCGAGCACCACCTGCAGATTTGCGAGCTGTGTTTCCAGCAGAGCAGACACGAACGCTGCATCGAAACACGGGCAGGCGAGGATCTTCGCCGTCCATCTGTCCGGTGATGCTGTGATCTGCAGCATCCCTTTGGGAGCCACCTTGAGAGCGAGCTGCTATCGGCAGAGAAAACTGCCAACCGCGAGCTTGCATCACGAGCATCCCTGGAACGACGAACGAACGAGAGAGAGAGAGAGAGAGAGAGAGAGAGAGAGAGAGAGAGAGAGAGAGAGAGAGAGAGAGAGAGAGAGAGAGAGAGAGAGAGAGAGAGAGAGAAGAGAGAGAGAGAGAGAGAGAGAGAGAGAGAGCGGCCTTCCCTGACCCCCCCCCGAGAGTGCAGGACTGTTGCTTATGGCATGCCAAACATGAACAAGTGCAAGCAGAGCTGAATGCAAGACCTAAGTGCTGCGCTTCGACATGAAAACATGAACTGCCAGCAGAGCTACTCAGTACACTTCGCGCGACCGAGCGGCCCGGCTTTTTGGATGCTCTTCCCGAGCGGGCTGTAAGAAGGTGCAGCGACAGCAAGCTACGGGAGGTCGAAATCAAAATTAAATCGCTCGTTCTTGCGAGCTGGCGCCCTGAAACAAAACTGGGCGATCGCCACCACACACCTTTGATCATGGTGTGCGGTGTGGCCTGAACGAGGTTGGCTCGCCGACCGGCACGAGCAGATTCTGCGGCTCGTCCTGAGCAGGCTCAGCCTCGATCACCTCCCGAACCGTCACGGTAGAGGGCTGAGCCGCCGGAGCCGAGCGGCCGCTCTGCATGAAGGTCGAGCCCGGGGCCGCAAAGAGACCGGGAAAAAGAGCGATCATCCCGCGCCTGATCTCGGGCAGGATCCGACACATGACCGTGCGTGTCCTCCTCGTCGTCCTGGTTGTAGTTGACCGGATCCACAGCCGAGGCGAACGCCCTTGCCTGAACATCGTCTTGGGCTCGAGTGCGAAGAGCCACCTCGCCAGAACTGGCCGGGATGTCCAGGCCTGCTGTGCGCCACCGCAGCCCCATCATGTGACATCTCGGCGAGCGCCTTCACCGGCACGATCTCTGGCTCCCTCACAAAGAGCTTGCTCTCAGCCTGAACATGGAAGTTGCCGGCGTCGAGCCCGCCCACAAAGGAGACCAACACACCAACTTTCGCGGCATCGAGCGTCACCGCGCTGTGCCACCAGTGCGAGTGAGCCGCAGCCAGCTGAGCGAACTGCTCGGTCTGCTCCGGACCTTCGACCCGTGCCCTCTGATCCCGGCATCGAGTGATGGTCTGGATCAAAGTCGGCCCGCTGATGTGGGAGACCGTGAGCCATGTCGCAGGCACTGAGGTGCGAGAGCACTTCAGATCGATCTTGTTGTTTGCGTCGCGAAAGCGAAACTCAACTCGATCTGCGTCGTTCCCAAGAGCATCATCTGAGGAACGATCAGCCACTCTGAGCTCAAAGCGCGATCGCGCACTGTCGCCAGCGACCACATTGCCCTTTGGCCCGACCGAGTAAGTTCGGCCGCCGCACTCGAACGAGAAAACGGAGACCCGCCAGCCTGAAAAGGCCGCCACCACCACAGACAGCCGAGCACGTCCTTGGCGAACTCCTCGGATGAAGAACTCATCTGCGAACTGCTGCTGGACCGAGAGGTCGGTGTCGGCACGATAGCCTCTGAAGATCCAGTGGAACAGGATCTCGTTGCCGTTGTACAACTTGACATCGGTGTACGACGGAGACGTGTCCCTGAGCACCGGCCACGTAAAAGGCTGAAAAGCCACGTGGCTCAGGGCACGAGCTGTGTCGGGATCCCAGCCTCCACAAGGAGCACCAGTCTGCGAGTCGATCGAGATCGCGACCGTCGCTTTGATCCCGTCCAGAGTGTAGTTGGCAAAGAGCGACATGTGAAAACCCGAGCTGGGTGGCATCACTTGGTCGCGTTCCGTCAGAACGTTGACAGAGTGCGAGCTGTTGGTCATGATCTCGCGGACCAGCCAGGCCTGAAAAGGCGAGACAATGCGATCATCCCTGTTGTCCACCATGATGATGGAGGTTTTACGAGCATCGTCCTCACATTCGGCGATCGACTCGATGAAGTCAGGGAGACGAACGTCGTAGGGGTTGTGAGCAGCCTGGGCGCGCGGGAAATGTCCGCCACCGCCCCTCCGACCGTCGTCTCTTGCCCGGCGACCGCCGCCATAGCCGCCTTGCCATTGATCACGGCGCTGACCACCATCACCCTGCCCCTGAGCAGGCTGGTACCATCCTTGGTGATACCAAGCAGGAGCAGCCATGGCTTCGATCCCAGGCCCTAACTTCTCCTTCGCCAACAAAAAAAGATCCTTCCCGGACCTGCGAGGCGATCGCCTCGACCCAAAATGGCCACGGGAAGCTCACCTTCGAAAGAAGGAACTGAAAGAGAGCAGACTGCAGATCGCATGCAGAAGTGTGACCCTCCTATCCCAGACCTACCTAGCCGTTGATAGGAGAAAGTAGTAATAACTGTTATTACGATTGTCATAGTGGTAACAATGTAAGACTAACCATACGAACAACAATTACCAGAAGCAATGAGAAGAATAATAACCAGTACTAGTACTACTACCGATTAGAACAAGAGGACTTCCTACTACAGTAATAATACTTCTAAGTAAGAGCTGTAATTGTAGCAATAGTACACTCAGAGAATAATACAAGGGTCACAGTAGTCTGGTTTCTACGATGATGGCTCCTGGGGACCCGACAGGCGAGGCGTAACGCCAGGTCCACTTCTGATCGCCATGGCACACAGTCAAAACGCAGAGTAAATGACTAATCTTCATTCGTCTCTAAGCCTAAACTCTGTTACTATAAGGGTTCTATAAGGTTTCTATAGGATAGGGTCCTTATCAGGGATCTATAAGGCTTCTAAAGGGTCCTTATCAGGGTTCTATAAGGTTTCTACAATATGGAGGCCTTCACTCCAAGTCAGCACCACACGTTGGCAAGTGCTGTCCAGTAGCATTGCAACATGGCACTTTCTGAAAATAGGGGACCCTGATATAATCTCAATCGTAGGCTCATTATTATAAGGACCCACAAAATAAGGTACCCCTAATTGTTGGAAACGCCCAGATGGCTGGGGGCTGGAGTTTTGACACTCACTCTCGGACAAGCCTGGCAAGGTCTGCAGTTGCAGGTACGACGAGCTGGCATTAACCCTCCCAAGGCAGATTCACCCATTGAGCCACTGTCAGAAGGAACAACATTCGCACGACACCAACAAGTATCACCCATATGAGCCCATATGCTATGTTCCGCTGGCTGGAATTGAGGGTTTAGGGCTTAGGGTTAGGGTTTAGGTTTTTTCTCCTCCTACATAGCAAGGACGGGCTTCGGGTTTAGGGGGGGGGGGGGTTCGAAGGCATTCTCCTGCTCCAGCTCTTGCGTCGGTTGCAGGAATCACAAAGCGCAAGTCAGAAAGACTGATTCGACAGACTGCCGCTGCAAACGTCCGCCAAATCCGCGACTTGCAACTGAGATGGTCGCAACGATCACAATAACACTTCATCATACTGGCCTACAGCCGTACTGGCAGAGATAGCGCCTATAAGACTAATTCTCGGCATGCACTCTGGAGAACGACCGCACCGAGGACAGGGTCAGAAGACGAAAGAATGCGTCAACGGTCCCGAGGAAATCAACTCGAAACCTGCACGGCACGTTTTTTGTGGAGGTTTCCCGGGCGGGGAATTTAGATGGGCTTGCTTCAGGGCTGAGCGCAGGATTCAGTGCTCAATGGTGCTCACAAGTCTGCACAGCCGCGAGGTTACTAGCTGGGCGTGGGGCTCGAGATCATAGTGACGACGAGAAGGCTAAGGCACTGGCCTGCGGAACAAAATCAGATTATTGCCGTGTGATAACAAGAAAACAACCGCGAAGGTACGGCTCGAAAAAACTCCCCCAAAAAAACCTGAAGTCCACACGCCACTGGCCAGTCATTACAGATAAACTCCCTGCCTGCCGGTGCTATCGAGAAGCTCACAATGTTTCGTTCGGGCTCGAGCCGTGCTTACGCAGACGTATTGTCTGCGGCGCTCACACGGAGCATGAATCTTAAGGTCGTTGAAGTGAAAAGGACCCGGCACTGCCAAAACAACCCTCAAATACAAGCAATGTACGAGAGAGACCTAGTGCCGGGTGTATGCGGGTCTCCTGCACATCATACTTGCCAAGTTCGGGACTCCAAGTAATTAACGGATCATCTCGATCCTTGTTCATGCAGTCGGTACCTGTGGATTTGCACCACGCCGACAGGAAGAAAGCTTTCTGCAAAATGCTGGACAGGCATTTGTACAAAGCAAACACCGGGTTCGTGGTGCACACAATGATACTTCGTCATTGCGAGTGGGCAGACACGGCGGGGGGTTTCTCCCTTCACCACCGCTGGAAGCTTGCTGCGAGGATGAGAGCTGGCAAACCGCCAAGAACCGCAGCTGCCGAAATGGTGCCCCCGTCCTCGTCCGACTGAGACTGAGAGGTCGTGGTCGTCGTAGTCGTGTTCGCTGCGGTTGTCGTAGACGACGTGTTCGCATCTGAAGCATCTGTTGCTGTTGTCGTGTCCGTCTCAGTCGTTGTTGCTGTTGCAGTTGCTGTTGCAGTTGCTGTTGCAGTTGATGTGGCTGTTGCTGTTGCGGTTGCAGTTGATGTGGCTGTTGCTGTTGCTGTTGATGTTACTGTTGTCGTCGCGGTCGAGAGAGACACCATCACCTCTTGAGCATACCACATCTCATCGATGCTGCCACCGGCACCACACAAGGCCCGGAACGTGACATCGCCAGAGCTTGGTGCCGTCCACGCGTGTTGCTTGCTCGTGCTCTTCGGCGAATTGTCGGAGACCATGCCGTTGCTGAAGGCTCCACCGTTGGACACCAGCTTCTGTGCCAGTGCAGTGGTCGAGGTGACTGTCACCATGTACGACCCTCCGGCGGTGTAGCCCTCGCTTGGGACATCTGTGGCAATCTTGCAGGTGTCTCCCGACGTAGCTCCAATGTTTGCGATGCCCATGAACCCGAAGGAGCTTCCAGGTGTGTAGCCGCCCACACACGTGAAGTCGCAACTCATGGACCCCGGGTATGCAGCTGCCCGGACTAAGAAAAACAGAAACCCTGCACATCGCAAGACTGCCATGGTGCCAGACGCGAAGGAACCCCGAACTCGGAAAGCTTCAGGCTCGAGCCTGAGCCCTTCCCGTAGAATCATGTAGAATCTTAAGATCCCTGTCTCTGCGGTGAAGGGGAATGCATAACAATAAACATACCCTTTGTGCATGTGGTCTCCATGGCCTTGGCTGGAAGGCATTAAAAGTCACCTCATGTAATATGATCTTACAGCGCCTAATTCCCGCCCATCTGCTGTCCGTCAGTTGCTGCTTGTTCTCATTGGACTTAGGCTCAAAGACTCGACTCTTGCAAATCTGGTACTCAAAGTTCTCATTTGATTGAGGCAGCACACGGTCGCCCTAGAGCGGCTTTTGCTCCGCGACTGCCACAGCACCTTCTGCATCTGGCATCCGCTGGAAAACGCCTCCTATCCCGTAAACTCCCTCATCACGCACAGACCCAAGCACAGATGCGCGAGCTTCCCCAGCTGCGCCTTGGCGGCCTCGTCAGAGGTACTTGCGAAAAAACTCTCTTCCCTCGCTCTCCCTCTCTTTGCTTTGCTCGGGGCTTGAGGGCGTGCCTCTCTCTCTCTCTCTCTGTCTCACTGCTTTGAATCACCTCTCAGCATCCCGCTGCCTCAGAACCTGAGGTTCCTGGCTTGCTGCCTTTGCAGGGTTTGACGGGCGGGTCATGGGAGATGGGAGTCCCCTTGCCCCAAAGCGCCGTCCGCTTTCCAGGGTTTCAAAGGCAATCAAGTCTTTACGCAGCTGTTATCCGGTCGCTCTGTCTTTCTCTTGCCTTGTTTGGGGCTCAGGACACCTTCGAGACCCTCTACACCAGAGGCTCGCCCAAAGTATTTAACTGTCAGAAGGTCTTACGGGACATGAATCACGGTCCCGCGTTCATGACACTGTCCCGACGACGAAATGTCAAAGCAGCACGAGGACATCGGCGGCAGAAGTCGTGTCTACCTCCATATCAAGCATAAATCACCCAGTACGTGTCTTGGCCATGTTCCTTTCTCCCTCTCTCCCTCTGATGATGTTGCCGATGGAAATGAATTGTATCGGCATTCTTCAAGATGTACTGAGCTTGTTGAGCTCCTGCACTCTTTCGGCTCTACTGATTCGGGCAATCATGACTCTAGACCATGTGTAAAGTACCTATCTACCTACCCATCCATCCAGCCTATGTATTTCGCTATGTGCGCTCTTGTGTTGCATGCATGGATGTATGGATGTGTGGATGTCTGGTATGCATGCATGGATGGATCAGACACGTGCAAAATCTGAGGTATCTTGCCTGCAGTTGTGGTGTGTCTTGGAAAGCCAGAGTCGGGGTACCTCGGGGGAGGGCAGTGGGGGAGCAAATAGTTGTATATCTATAAACTAGCTGTGATCTGCGCTGGAAAGATGCAGGGCTAAAAGGTGAGGGGACGAAAAGTGGTAGCGCCTCCGAAGGTGCCGCTCACAACGTCGGGGAGGCAGCTGCCCTCTGGCAGTTCCAGGGCCTTGCGGATGCTGCGGAGGCTTCTGGCTTCCGGATTTTTCGGAGGCTTCTCCTGTTGCGAGGCTTCGGCGGGCTCTAAGGACCCTGTCCACGCGAAAGGCCGTAAGCTGCGGCTTGCACAGGAACATACAGGAGTCACTGTACACTGAATGTCACACCATCTCCGGCTACACCTGCTGCCTCGAAGCTTTCATCTTCGGCTCTGTGCTCACAACGCAGCGCAGGGCTACTGCAACATGAACACACGCGATCATCTGAAAGGCATCTGGGCTCGAACCTGATCTTCAGCGCCTGTCTCCGCCCGAGAGTCCTGCGAGAGCACCACCGGAATTTCCTATAATGATAATTATCTTCGGGCAAGCAAGACATGCCGCACCTTCTTTCCAGCGGCTTCCCTGCAGTGCAAGGAGGCTTTGCAGGATATGTTGTAGAAATTGCCGTATGTTGGACACACCATGCAAACTTTTTGATAATAGCATGGCAACATCACATCAGCTAACACAACATGTTACAGCATGTTATCACATGCTGCAAAGAACTACACCATATCACAGCAGGTTATAACAGGTTACAACAGATTAAAGCAGATCGCAACGTGCGATAGCATGTCATGACATATTATCACATTAGTATAACACATATTCCAAAATACAGCATGTCAAAGCATACGTCGCAATTTTGACACAAAGTGCTAGAATGTATTTTGTGAAACATTATGAATATATTACCGTACATAACATATTTCAGTATCTAACTACACAGTGAAGTATGCTGGTGTAGATGGAAGGTCTGGCTCGTCGACGTGCTCCCTGCAGCTTGCAGCACGGCGGCAGCCTTGGCTGGCCATCGCCTTCGCTTGCCGTGGCTTTGCTGTACTTTTTGACCTGTTTAGGGTTTGCTTGTTTGAATCGCCTCTTTCCTCGCGCTATCCACGGTCAGAATGCCATCTGGCACGTGAGGTACTGCCGTCGGTAACCGAACGCAGCTGTTTAGGGATGGGCCGGGATCAATCCACCGGCTTCACGATCTGGTGCGAAGCATCCCACCTGCGCCTCGTAGATTTTCACCTCGGCTTGAATCCGAATGACCCGGCACTGCAAGCAACACTCTCCTTGACCTGAAGCTGCTGCCAAAAAACCAGCTTCTTTACTGCGCTTTTTGGAAGCTCGCTCCCATCCTCGGCAGTCTATCAGGATCCTTTGTTAACCTCTTCGGCTTAACCTGCCTCCGCATGCGTTGGCACGCCCCTGTCGTCAAAGCGGGAGTACCTCTGTTAGTGTGCGCATGGTTTGTGTTATTTCGGCCTTCGCGTTCGTCAGGGAACAGGCAGGTCTACAGCCTGGATTCGAGCACAAAAATTTGAAAGGAGCACTTTCCTTCGTAGTCGCCCTGCTTGAAGAAGTCCTCTGGTGGGACAAGCCTCGAAAGGAGAGCGTATAACTAATAACGCACAGGCCGAGTGAAATGCAAAGAAGCTGGGGGTACGAAGTATTCATCGGAAACTGACCCCCAGTGGCTTCTGCCAACATGTTGAAGCTATCATCTGCAGAGCCTGTCTCGACAACCTTGTATTCCCAGGAAGCCGCCAATATGTTCTTTGAGCTGAGTCTGTGGCGCCGCTTGAGCTCTCTTGGCGGCCAGCGCCTGTGCTCAAGCAATGCTATGACATTATCTTATATATTAGACCTTTGAAATTGTATGTTTTGAGTTATGTGATACATTTGTAGGTTTCATGTTTTTGCAAAGATTTGTCTAACATATTAGCATACGAGTTCTATGTTATGTATTGTATGCAAAATGTTTTGCGCTCGCCCGCCCCGTTTGCCCCAGGGCGCACGATACGACATTTGCGAAGAAATATACATTTAGGGCGAAGGAAAAGTGGCAGCGGAACGCAGCAGTTAAAATCAGGAATATGCGCACGAAATTCTGAGGTTTCAAGGGTTCCAACTCTGACGGAAGTTGTTTGCTTCCAAGCCACTGCCCAAATCCTAGAGATATCGTGGTCAACTGTAGCATCCTTAAGGCCAGGAGTCTGTCTCAGAAAGGATTATGCCCTGGACGTCATCATGGTTGGGCCACGAATGCTCTGTTCTCAGAACGGATGTGACCATGGACGTACCCATGGTTGGGCCCTGGATGCTCTGTTCTCAAAGCGGATGATTAGACCATGGACATCATCGTTGGGCCATGGAAGATCTGCTCTTAGAGCGGAGTAGAAAAAATAACCGACCTTAAGTTGAACTGTGTCATAGGAGAGTACATGATTTTACAATATACTCTCACATGATATCTTGTATGCCATTATACGTATACTAAAGGTTGTGAGGTTTTGCTTTATTACGTCATAAAGCTCCTCTCGCTATATTAGATGTTACATTATGACTTACATTTGGTACGAACATTCATTTCGGTGTTCTGTTCTTGTTTGGTATTTTTCTGTTTGCCAGAGCAGCTAAAAATGTGGCCAGATGGACATTCTCCTTTAGCACCTGGTGCAAATCTGGTCCCCGCGTGTCATTCACAGCGCGTGTCTCCTGCTGTGGTGCGGTGCGTAGTTTTTGTCACTTACAGGGTCAGGTTCGGTACGCACAAACCAACGGATTCCCATTTCACGCCACCAAACCACGGTCTAGGTAGTGTTTTGTACGCAATAACCAAATGGTTCGCACTTTGCAGCGCGAAACCGGAGGATTTAGGGTAGGGGATGATATCAACAAAACGAATTTTATGCTCGGAACCGGAGGCTCTAGGCTAGGGTTCCATAGGACACGCCCCCTCATTTGGCGACTGAGGTTGATCAAATATCTTAAACCCGACCCCTCGTGCTCGAGCCTCGTAAGCCTCTTGGTGCTGCTTCGCAGGGGCGATGCACAGCAGCTCTTGGGCCTTGAGCAAGTCTGGAAGTGAACAAAAAGTAATGGCCCTAGTCCCCGTCATCGTCAGAGCCACAGCCATGGCCATGATCAGAGTAGTAGAACCTTCGTCAGAAGTGAAGGGCCTGCGGCAGCAAGTGCTTGCTCTTGTGGCATTTCGTCGTTGCTCCAGCAAGGAGTGGTAGCAATAGCAGCCGCAACAGCAACAGCACCACCGCAACCACCAGCACCCAGCCACCTCTCCCTCCTTTCCGGCCTTGTGTTCACAAGGGCCTCCGTGCGGTGGGAAAAGCCGAAAAAATTCTCATGAACTTCCCAAAGTTCAAGAACTCCAAGCAGTGAAAACGCCAAGCTCGACTTCTGCCAGCTGGGCCTCGGACGGCGACTCGCAGTGCTGCAGCAAAGCCGTGGAACCTCACGTGGCCCCGGTCTGGTCTCAAGTCTCTGACAAGGATTAGGATGCTGTGGTTTTGCCAATGTCCTGCGAAAGACAAGTTTTTCTTACGCTCGGTTTCCACTCCCGGCTGCATGCCGGTTTTGGAAGAGCTGTCTGCAGCCAGCCGCAGACAGATCTCTCTGTGCACAGTCGGTGGTGCGAAGCGCACCACTTCTCTCCCGGTCATTTGCCAGCATCAGCCAACACAAAAGCTGGTCCATTGTTCACAGCTCTGCCTTTGCAGAGCAGAAGCCGCCGCGTCCTGCTAGCATCAAAAAGCACACATCCTTACACAAGCCCCCTTTTGGACTGCACAGACTCCAGGACGGGCAGCCGCTTAGGTCTGCAAGAGCATGTGCTGGCAACACGCCTGCACTCGGTAGCGCAATGACTGAAGACCTTTCTTCACAAACGGGGGTCAGGTCGTGCACCTTGCTGCCAGCACACACGAAACAGCCGAAACAGCCACTCTTCGGGCTTGTGTCGAATTCAGGCCGAACTACTTTTTTGCACTCGTGAATATCAAATCTGCCACAGTTACACATCGGGTGCACGATGCGAACCACGCGTCGAATCAAACATGTCTTGCACAGTGGCCAAGAAAGGCCGTTCCTGATACTTGGCAGCTTCATAGTTTGCTCTGAATACTGCCTGATGCTTCCAGTGGATATATGTCAACAGCGCGGCTCCAGCGGTAAAGACCAAGAGCACGAGGACGCCCAAAATGTGGGCAGTGGTCTCTGCCATCTGAGGCTGCTGGTGCGCTTCCGCCTCGAAGCTCACGGCCACCCGGATGCCCGTAGAGAAAAGGAACAATGCCAGCCCGTTCAGCAAGCATTTCACCGCAAGATGTCTCCAGGCAACGATGTTGGGATTCAGGTAATAGCTGGCTGCGATCTCGAAGCCGGTAGGCCCCGCCGTTTCGAGCCGGTACGTGTGATAGGTCTGGGCGACACCCACATAGACGGCAATCAAGTTCAGGAACAAGACGAAGCAAAGGATGAAAAAGCTTGTGCTTCGTAGGCAGCCTTGGACATTTTGGAAATGGAGATCCTTCTTCATGTTGATTACATGCGAGCTGGCGGTGGTCATCAGGGATGACACCACTGCCAGTTGCTGCACGGCGGAGAGCCGCTTGTCCAGCACGTTCAGCTGGAAGAACCTCGGGTCGTTCTGCAAGTCCATGGACTCGGACTTCACCAAGTTGGAGCCCTCCATCATCTGTGGAAGGCATCCCGGTTGGTGGTGCAAGTGGAACTCCGCATGTTGAGATGAAAACTCTTCAACTTGCGCCTGTCGCATTCGCATGTACCCCTTGGCACCGATGCTGTTCATCTTGCTCGCCATTGCCATTGCCTGCAGATCGTCGAATCATTTCATACTGCCTACGTTGATCCAGACAGCTGCAAAAGCATGCAGAACGCAAAATCGTCTGCACAGTTTCTCCGAACAAGACATACTCGACTTCAAACTGTTCTCCTGCTTTGCAGTCGTGAAAAGTCGCGCAGCGGTCGGAAGTCGGGTGCTCAGTAAGGGTCTCTCTGTTTTAATCGCCGCAAACGATACTCGAGCCGCCGAAGGCCGTGCGAAGGCTGTCAGCCTCAAACACAAGGGGTTGAGAGCGCGAGACCGCAAGAGGACCCTCCCTGAACATGCAGGGTGCTGCTAGTCTGCGCCACAAGCACACCACAAGCGAAATTCATATCGGGGCCGTAAAAAAACTGGAATATGGTTTTGGTGTCTGTTATCCTTTGACTATATAACCGCATCTTTTCAAACAGACTAGAACAGGCATACAATCCTCTTGCTATAACAGGATAGTATGACTCACCTTGGATACTGCCCCAATACGGTAACAGTCTATGATGGGGCTACTATAAGAGGGGCTACTATAACTATATTACGAATATTATCCAACTGTTACTGAGTGAGGGCAGTATCCAAGACTCACCCACTGTTCAGGGAGCTCTTTTTGTAGGGCCCACACCGGACTCGGAGGAGGACTCCTCAACGTCCTCCCGAGCTGCCATGATCTCCTTTGTGCATCTCACCGCTTCATATTATCTACTATATGCTAAATTATATAACCAGTGTTAAGCAGTTATATATATATATATATGTGTGTGTGTTATTTGACAGAGAAATTCAAGAGAGGGTACTAGCCTGTCTTGGCAGACGCCGCTTTCTTGCAATGATCTGCACGGACACATTCAATGAAACTAATAAACACAACCAATGCTCCCTTCGAACCATCCCTGCATCACTGGTAGTCCATGCCGCAGAATGAGAGACGAGAAGTGATGCCAAGCCAAGACCCCCTCCGAGCGCTCTTAAAAGTCAGAGGCCTCGATGCGAATTACTCCAAAGCCAAACCCCGAAGCTCCAAAGCTTCCCCAAACAATACTAGGAATCTGCTGCGACTTGAAGGGCTCTTCTAAGGGCGCCTTTCAAGGGGTTCCTTATTCTGGGGTCCCTATAAGAATCCTACTATTTAGGTACTATATTGAAGTCCAGCGGCTGAAGGCCACCAACAGTTCCACTCCTCTCGGCGCCTTGGTGTCAGCGCCCGTTGTGATGTGCACATCCGGCGAGCACCAGAGCCACGCTAGGTTCTCAGTGTGAAAAATCCGGAATGAACTACCCTGAGGCCATCCGGAACAAGACCAGAATCCTTCAACTGCTTGTTCCTAAGTGGGTCTCTGTGTAGGGCCATCCTTCCCTGTCTGCCCACACGAAGTCCCGTGAGAGTGTGGCAGATCTCTGTTCTTGCAGGCCGACAAACCCCCGAGTCCAAAAAGCCACAGTGCTCCGTTCTTCCGTCTGCCAAAGTGCCGAGGTCTTCGGCCGCGGTCCGCGGAGGCTTTTGGCGCAATGCGCCCATCCTATGCAGGATTCCGGTTACATCCTGCTTCAAGGCCTTAACCATATCAGAGCACAGTCGTCTCCGCACATCGCGATTGTGAGAGGGACTAAACGGAGTTGCTTCTCCGACTTTTCTACAAGGGGCTGCAGGGCGCTCATGTTCTGCCCGTGATCTGTGCACCCAAGAAGGTTTGACCGTGGCCATTCTATGTCGGGTGTGGCGGTTAGAGGTTGCCGCTGCTCGAAGCGACCCGCAGATCGAATCAATCCCAAGGGTGTGACTGCTGTCCTCCAGAACCACGCGCTGAAACTCTGCCAACGTAACTTCACCGCCCTGCCAGGCGTAGGCAACACCGCAGAAACGGACAGTGGGAGACACCACACTAACCTAGCTCGCTCGCGCCTGTGTTCGAAACCTTTTCAGCAGCTCGGCAGCATGTCCCTTGGCTGTCAAGCTCTTGATTCCTGCCTGTGGATTGACTACCTACTTGCTAGTCTCCGTCAATCGCCCTGAGGGAATGCGGCCAAGCGACATCAAACTCAAACCTCGGAACAGTTACGAGTCTAGTTCTGGCCCAACAGGACTAGCTTACCTTTGCAGCAGGTTTGTGCAAGTGAATGTTTGCATCGAGCCACGCATCACTTTGGAGCATCTCTTTGATGTCCACCAGTGGAAGAGCACCTGGGAAGCCACTGGCCCTGCTGGGCGACTGCATCAACTCCACAGCTCTCCGAGCGGCCAGTTCGGTGCAAGTCCATGTCGTTGAAGAGGCAAGTGACCTCAGAACGAGATCTGAAGGCCAATATCCGGGGAAAGTTGCGGCTTTTTCAGGCAGCACTTCCGAGACGCCAGCGACCTGTAGACTGCACTCTTCCTTCTCCTCTCATCGCAAGCAGTCGCAGAGCATAGCAACTCCAGGGCTTAACATGAAGGTGGAACTCAGCCTGAATGGCTTCGCGCAGCAGGCCCTCGTACTCAATGAAGTTGTCTGAAGCCTATCAGGGCAAGTCGCCGGGAGGCAGTGGCGTACGTCCTCCCCCGTTCGGCCGAGAATGCGCCTGCTCCACACGGATGAAGTCCTGGTACCGTCGCTAGTTGATAGATCATGCAATGCTGAAGTCAAAGGCTGATATTGCCGGTATCGCAACTTTTCCTGTAGCTGCCTCCGCGCCTCCGCGCATTGCAGCCGCAACTTCGTTCAGGCAACTGAATTAGTGCTGCCACTCGGATTCTGACAGCAAGGCGTGTATTGAGCAGGAGTCCCGTTACGCTGGACGACTACACACCGAAACAATACTTTCGAAGGATCCGGCTGTTGTCACGAAGCGTCATGAGCACAACTGGGCGGCGAATCCCGCACTGAAGTTATGGAAGTCACGCTGAAACGTCTCTCCTTCATATAACTCGAATCGGCTGTATGATATAAACGCCACCCTCTTCACGTCGTCGCCCGACTGGTCTGCCAGTGAAAGTGGTGCCATGACTCACGTGCCTAAGCACGTCCGGGATTCCTGCCTGCCATGGTGAGACTAGCCTGGGTTACAGGCGAGCGACACCTCGCAGACGCACAAAAGTCCTAAATGCGAAAGTTCATCGAAAGATCCGGCCCGTCTTGAGCGGGCGGGGGCTGACAGTCACCAACTCCTGTGTGGCGCATGCCTGCAAGTAACAGGCATGGAACAATCGTTGCATACAGAACGAGGTCTGGCGAAACCGCTACTGCATTCCTGGTCCTGTGCGAGTTGTTTTCGGAACCACCGAATCCAGATATTTCTTGTGGCCTTCGGAGGCATCAGGCGCCGCCGGCAACTGCCATACCCACCTTCACGTTTGCCAAAATGCCACACAAGCAAGACATGGACTTGCCGTATGGCGAGATATGGGTCTATGTAGAGTTTGAATCTGGTGCGAAGGCTGCGAGCGGGAGTCCTTTACAGGCATCTCTGTCAGTCCCTCTGTCTTGCGCTTGAATGAATTCGTTTCCACACCACGGCAGGCTGGTAGACTTTCGGATTTGGTATATATTTGCACTGTCGGAGTATCCAGAAGGCACCATCAGGGTGCAGAATTGAGATAAGTGTGTGTGTGTGTGACACGCACTCCCACATGTCTGAGCAGCGATGAGAGTGCGACGCGGGGGGCCTTCTCTTGGAGGCCCGGCCAGTGAGGGTGACCGGCCCATGAAGCGTCCTCCAGCCTGGAAATTGCTTGGCTTCGAGTGCCTGGCTTAAGCCATTGATTGAGCAAACACGCTCGCCATGAGACTGGTGAGAGGAACCCACAGATTTCCAATAAGCCAGTCGCAGCATGCGTCGGCAGTGATGTTATTGTTGCCACATGTTGCTGCCAGCGTCTTTTGTCGCCGATACTACAGAGAAGTAGCAGCATGAACGCAGAAGCCAGCATTAGGAAGGAAACTGGATCACTTTGGCAAACCTGCTAGAACTGATAGGCTGCAGTGCTAGTACTGGAGCGTGTGACCAGCATTCGCAGTGGCATATTGTGCGCATACACATGCACACATGCATTTGCAGTAACAGCATCGTGCAATTTTCATTTGGCATACTCGCATAAAGATGCTGGCCTAGATCAAAGAATCAAAAAAAAGCTCGTCTTGCAAAGCCAATCTCAGAGCTTTGCTAGGGCTTCGACTCTTGGGAAGGCTTCAGGTCTTCGATCCCTGGCTGCCCTGCATCCTCCTTGTGGGCAAATGCAGCTGTGCGGCTCTTGCAAAAGCTGTTCGAAGCTTTCGTCTGGGCTACCTGGGTCACGGATGAAAAATCGCGAGAGTTTGTTCTGGCGCCAATGCACAGAATGCGAAAGTGCCAGCAGCTTCCAATTTGCCGAGCTTCACTTGGAGGCGAACATCGCCAAAAGGTATTGGTTTCCTACCTCAGCTGTGCAAGCTGACTCGGACCGATCCACTGCAGCAGCAGGGGTCTTTCAACATTGCGAACTCGCGTACTGCTCTGCAGCATGAGGATGGTTCTAGGGATGTTTCATGACTTATGAGGATGCTTTGGCTCCCTGCCGTAACTTTGATTGCTTCACGTCGGCGGCACTATGCCGCATCATAGCTCCAGGTTGCAGATACACCTGTTTTCGGATGCTTAAGCCAGGAGGCAGCACCCCCACCCTGTTGCACTAGTCGGCGGAGAAACGCTCTCAGCAAGCACGGGTTCCTTCCGGTGCCAGGGTCAAACTCCAAAAGGTGGACGGTGAAGCTATGTAGCTTTGGACGAGGGAGATGCACAGCGTGCGGCATGCAATGACACCCAAACAGTCCGACGGCGCATGCTGCCTGGCACACCTGGCTTCTTCCAGCTGCCTCACCGCCCAAGAGGCTGCTTTGGATATACCTTCTTCACACTCCTCCGACATGACCCCGAATGCTGACCGCCGAATCACCAGTACTCCCAAATCCTAAAGTTAAAGGAGCACGGAGTCCTTGCATCAAGCACCTGGCAGCCAGCCAAGATCTCGCAGGTTG